AATAGGGAATAAGTATCTATTACTTGCTTTTGGAAGAAGTATCAATCCAAATTAGAAACATTTCAAAACTGGATCCTTACAAATTATTTATAAAAAATAATCATTTCTCTCAATCTTAGTTTATCTTCAGTCTTTGTTTCTCTGACTGCATTTTTGGCAAACTTTAGAATTTCTGTACTTTCTGCGTTGCCAGAGCTTACAAAAATAGTTCAAATATTCTTTCATCTATAATTTCAAGGCAATACAAATCCCTTCCCCTCTATAAATTTATTTGTTCTTATTTTTAGTTAAGTGACTTTGATTTTAGAAAAAAAAATTTCTCTTTTTTCTAATTTTATATTAATTTTACCTTCAAAATTTAAGTTATAATATTATATATTTATCTAGATTATTGTCATATTATAAATTTATTATTCAGACAAAATGCAAATCTAAAACATTTCTATATATTGTTAATAGTTACATGCATCTGTAGTAAATGCTAAAACTTACATTAAAAGAATAATGTCAGCTGTAAGATAACTTCAGCTCTAGGAGCAATTCTCTACTCTTTTGTAATGCTTGCCACTCTAAGACAGCATTCCAAAATTACTGTTGTGTGAAAGTCATAGGGTGGTTCTTAAAAATGTAGACATCTGGGCTTCTGCTTTAGAAACTCTAATGCAACAAGCTTGAGTTGGGTTTACAAGGTACACTTGAAAGAGAACCTCAGGCAATTGAGCTTCAGATGACTAAAGGACCACCCTAGATCAGAAGCACAGCTATGGGGGTAGGGAGACAGAGGAGTTACAGCTCAAGGGAGAGGTCAGGGTTAGAACAAGATTTCATTGTCACTGTTGGTGGGAATGCAAACTGATACAGCCACTGCGGAAAAAGTATGGCAGTTCCTTAAAAAGTTAGAAGCGTAACATATCTTACTTACATTTATAGCAGTATTTACAATAGCCAAATTTTGGAAGCAGCCAAATGTCCATCAAGTGATGAATGGGTAAAGAAGATGTGATACACACACATACACACACACACACACACACACACACACACACACACACACAGAGGAATATTATTCATCCATGAAAAAGAGTGAAATCTTGCCATTTGCAATGACCTGGATGGAGCCAGAATGTATTATGCTAAGTGCAGTAAGTCAGTTAGAGAAAGAGAAATATCATGTGATTTCACTGATAGGTGGAGCTTAAGAAATGAAACAAAGAAGTGAAGAAAAAAAGAGACAAACCAAGAAGACAACATAGCCTTACTATAGTGAACAAACTGATGGTTACTAGAAGGAAGACAGGGAACAATGATACAGGTGATGGGGTTAAGGAATGTACCTGTGATCAGCCTGGGTAAGGTATGGAAGTGTTCGATCACTACACTGTATAGCTAAACCTAATAAAACTCTGTATGTTAACTACACCGGACTTAAAATTTTAAAAAAAGCACAACAAAAACATTTGGTTTTCATGGTCTGTAGGAGCTCTAACCATGGAAGTGGATAGGAACATTGAAGGAAGCACAGAGATAATGAAGAGTGGTGAGCTCAGGAAGGGGAGCCAAAGTCCAAGCAGCAGAAAGAGGAAGGGCCTTCCAAGAAAACAGAAGGTATGACAAGGGAGCAGGGAGGAGAATGGAGCGCATGATGGGGTGGAAGCAAAGAAGGCCAAGTTCTATAAGGAGGACGTACCCAATAGGGTCAAGTGGAACAAACAATCAGGAAATAGAAGGCCAGAAAAATGTTCCTTGTCTGTGTACTTTATGTCAGGTAGTACCGTGTTTCTTCCTGGAAGGTAGGGTATGGTGTTTCCAGCAGCTGACACACTGTAAACGCTTAGATGTTTGGTGAACTAAACTGGATTAACAAGGGCAGCTGCCGTACACAGATTTTAAACTTCTGCCTCACAATCTTAAATACCTTAGCTACAAGTCAGTTCCTTCGCGTACCCTCCCATCAGGATGAGCAAATGTTATATGGGTTTAGCCATCCACAATGAAGAATTAAATGTATCCAGACTGATGGAACAGTTATTTTCAACCATCCGCCCAAATGTGGAAATGACGTGTAAAACGCAGTGCCCAACCTCTGTGTCTATGTGAGACAATTCAGAGTTTTACTAGTACTTCTTAAAAATAAAGCAAAGACCTTTAAAATACTTAATTTGGATTGTGAGAGTGGTTTTATTTCCATATATATGCTCTCTCACGATTATTTGTAGAAGTGTGTGTAGTCCTAAGAACAAACCACATTAAAGAAGGTAAATGACTCTCTAAGAACTCACAAGTGTTGGTTGCTATGACAACTGGTGAGTTATATGAAATAGAAAAAAAATCAATTAGAAACCATTTGAAGAACCTGCACAGGAATGTAAAACATTTCTGCCTCACAATTTCAGGAACTTTCCTGCATCTGTGTACTGTATGAAAACGGTCATGTTGATGCCAGTCACAAGCATTCTAACAAAGGTCACCCTCTTGATGCATTCCTTTCTTTGTTTGTTTTCATGTTGATTTAGTTTGAGAGACAAAGAGAAAATGCACAGGAAGGGGGGAGGGGCAGAGAGGGAGAGAGAGAAACCCAGACAGGCTCCACAGTGTCAGCACAGAGCCTTATGTGGGGCTTGATCTTATGAACTGTAAGATGATGACCTGAGCCAGAATCAAGAGTCAGATGCTTAACAGACTGAGCCACCCAGGCGCCCTGCATTCCCATCATTCTAATGTTCCCTTCCATTAGCTAAACCTAACAAATTGCTGGAACACCCAAGTAATTTATTAGAGAAGTAACGAATTTATATAGTTACCAGGCTCTTTGGTACTCCTAACATTCAACAGTACTTGGCCTCAATATATTTTTGTTTGAACCAAACAATTTTCTGGTTAATATATAGAGACACTTTCTATCTGTGGGGCAGTCCCCCTGCCCCCAATGTGGCATATGCCTGACAAGTGAAGAAAATTCAGGTAAGGAGAGAGGGTTTCAAGAAAACACCCTGCTAACCCTCTCCTAGGTTTCCCTTCTCTCTTGGACACCCCCCATTCTCCATTCCTAACTATTTGAAGTGATGAGAGGATTAAAGAGAGAATGCCAAGTTTTTCAGACTTAAAAAAAAAAAAAAAACATTGTTAAAGTGATAGAAGGGGAGAGCCCTTCTGAATGAAATGATAAAGGCTCAAGAGCAACCACAGGGAGACCAGACATCAGCTATGTGACCTTCTCACAGGCAGCTCTACGAACATTCATGGAAGGGTTCCTGTGGCCATCAGGTGATGGCCTGTCGTCTCATGAGAGCACTGATCTCATGAACAAGTGTTATGCTCTCAGAATGGATTGCTCATAATTCTTTATGAGATTACCACGTGACGGAATGACCCAATAAGAGGCTCCCTGCTTCTCCAATCTGTGCCGCCCAGTACCAGCAAAGTGATCCCAAGGCACCCCTTCATAGCAGTGCTTTTCAAATTGTAGGTCGAGGCCCATCATTAGGTCCTAAAATCAACAGTGGGTTGAGACCATTATTAAAAGATATAAGGAGAAACTAGAGAGGATAGAAAAATATCAGAATGAATCTCATCTAGTGAGGGTAAATATACTTTGGGAAAATTCTGCTTCATTCTTTCTCTGTACGTATGCGCTGGGTTGCTAGATTGAACATATTTCTTACTGTAGGTACTGGCCAAAAAGGCTGGAGAGCCAGAGTCAGCTAAGAATACCTCCATGTTTTCTGTTGTGTAAGAAGGAAGAGGGAGAGGAAGAGGGAAAGGGGAAAGAAGAGGGGCAGGAACACTAAGAAAAGAATTCCAGCTCTTTTGCTCTAGGGCTTGAATTAAGTGTTCCCCAAATCCACTCTCTACTTCCATAATATGATGCTAGGTTCCAACGTTTTTACTCATTCTCCTCTCAATGTCTTTGCTCTATTGTGCCCTTTATTCATAAAGTTTTCTCTCCCCTTTGTGGTTTTCATATTCTATTCTCCTTTAGGGTCCATTCAGGCCTTATCTTGGCATTGAACCCATATGATCTCTACGTCCTCTCATCACTCATCCCTTTCTGGCTGTTCTGCTCAATTCCACACACTTTCTCTCCAGGTGTCCTGTCTGCTTTGAGTCTTACCTGCCTCCTGTCCCACTCTGCTGCCACACCTTCTGGCAACTCTCTTCCGATCTGCGTCCTTCCTCCTGTTGCTTTCCTCTTGGCGTCTACCTCCGAGTATCACTTGACTAAAAGCAACTTGAGCCCAGGGACTGTGAATCATACACTTTTGTATTCCCTGTGTTATCTGGCACAGTGCAGGGCATGTAACAGGTGCTCTGTATAAATGCCTTGAGCTAAAATAAAAATAAGTCAGGAGTCCCTGCTGTGCATCAAAACTCTACCCTACTCACTCCAGTGTTTTTCTCTCAAGATACACTGTTTTGCGTTTAAAATGGCTTTGCGACTTCTAAAGCTCTCTAAAATCTATTTTTTTATCCTGGTTTTATCTGCAAAAGCTTGGTAAAGTAGGCACAGGTCATGATACTCATTCTTGAGAGATGAGGAGATGGAGCCTCAAAGACAGTTTTAACAGCAGCAGGTTGTCAGTGATGTCCCCAGAACCAGTGTCTACAATACGTCCTATTCTGTGCTACTAAACTCCTCTAGTAAAAGCCTGACAGCAATCACACATTATAATAAAGTGCTCACTCAGTGCAAAATGTTGGATATAAAGGGAAAAAAACAGCAACAAATAATATCAGGCAAAGCTTAAACTGTGTTTCTCATGAAATAAGAATGTGAATACCTTGTACTAGATCAACATTCTGGCTATTTTGCTTCTGTTATTATGCCTGGAGTCTAATAGTGCCAGAAAAGTAGGAGGAGATCCACTTCTTACCAAGGATATGTTGGTTTCCATGCAAAGTTGACAGTCTTTTCATTACACCCACTCTAGCAATTAGCTGTTGCTCTGTGCAGCGTTACAAACAATTACTAACTTTTCTGTTGTTGTTATTTTATCACTTACCAAGCTGTTCTCCTAAATGTTGGCCTCTCTCCGTTGAGATGACCCGCTCATCTTCCATGTCGCATTTGTTCCCAACCAGGATAACCTGGGCATTATCCCAAGAGTATGTTTTAATTTGAGTTGACCTAAAAGAAAAAGAACAAGCAAAAAAATGATGAGGAGAGAACAATAACAAAATACTAAACCCAAATGCCTGACATTTAGAGTTAGTTAGCTCCGTGCAATTTCACCCTTCAGATACTCAGAGACTGAACGAATCAAGGGAACAATGGTGCTGTATTAAGGCTTCTGTTTTAGGGTGCCTGGGTGGCTCAGTCAGTTAAATGTTTGACTCTTGATTTTGGCTCAGGTTATGATCTTGTGGTTTGTGGGTTTGAGCCGCATGTCAGGCTCTGCCCTGACAGCACAGAGCCTGCTTTGGATTTTCTCTCTCTCTCTCTCTGCCCCTCCCCTGATCATGCTTGCTTTCTCTCAAAATACACTAACTTAAAAAAATAATTGTTTTATGTGGTGATATTAACATGACTACTATCTCTTCCTCCTACCTCCACCTTATGTAGAATCTTTATACTTGGAGCAGCCAACCATCCTGGTTTGCCCACCATGTTCTCAGTTTTTGCAGTAAAAATCCCATGTTCCTAGAAACTCCTCAGTTCCAGGAAGCCCATCACACAAAAAGATAATTTTCCCTTATTACAACAACATGAAGAGCTAGGACAATTAAAGGCTAGGAAATATGGGGATAATATTAATTTCTAAATCTTTTTAAGAAAAGTTTTTAATGTTTATTTTTTTTTAGAGAGAAAGAGCGCAGCTGGGGGAGGGACAGAGAGAGATGGAGACATATAATCGGAAGCAGGCTCCAGGCTCCACGTAGTCAGTAAAGAGCCCTACACAAGGCTCAAACTCAGGAGCTGTGAATCATGACCTGAGCTGAAGTCGGACGCCCAATCTACTGAGCCATCTAGATGCTCCGATGTTAATTTTTAAAAGTGGATCCTAACAATGAATAAAGTCATGATTTACATTTTACAGAGAAAAATGGTTAATACAAAAATTGCAATATAATGGGCTGGCAGTTTAAATTATAAGCAGGATGTCCAGAATTCTGAATACATTTCTAGTATCGATCATGACGAACACAGCCAACTTCTGATTTTGAAACTGAGATAGACCTGTAATAGTTCACATTTGCAGGTATAGTCCTAAGTAGGTCAGATGCATTACATGAATTTAATCCTTAGAATCAGAGGGATATTATTATTATACCCATTTTACCACTAAGAAAAATGAAACCTAGAGAGGTTAAATAATTATCCCAAGAATAGCCAGCTAGTCAAGGGTCAAATTAGGAAATCAAACCCATGTTAGTATAGCTCTCAAGCCTATGCTCTAAACATGTAACCATGCTACTTATTTGAATTTTGAGAATTGAAATTCTTGTGTGCTTGTTATCATTTGAGAGAAAAAGCTGAAAGGAAGCCATGTTCTTTATGCCTCCATTTCTATTGGCCATGTTTTTATTTGAAAACAACAATCTAAGATATGTGGGAAAGATCTAGCACTCAGTGGGTGGTCAAGAGAGAGATGTTGAAAAAAAAGGATGAAGTTTAAAAGAAGGGATTTGTAAAATGTCAAAAAGAAAAGCTTAGAAATGTTTCTGCTTAGCAATTGTCAAGTCTTTCAGGATTATTAAATAGAAAATAGTGACAGTCTGTTCTCAACTTGTACAGAGAATAAAATCAAATAGTAAACTCTAGCAGATCTTCCAGTGAGATGCGATCACTCTTTTTCCCTCCTAAGAAGAATGATTAGAGCTACAAGGCAGATAGTGTTTTATTTCAGAGCATTGTCTTGAACCAAGTACAAGTTTTCAAATGAGATTAGAATAGTTGTGTCCCATGTGAACATCTCAGAGGTAAAGTATATTTTATCAGAAAAATCTGGAGACATGACCTAATAGTGATACCTAAGTTAATAATCGATTCCCCTCCAGCAACAAGAAATTCAGCATGCATCTATAAATTGGGAAAATAAAAGTAAAGATTCAAAACTCTCTAATTTTCTCTCACCTCAAGTTATGTGTGTGGTCTATGGCAAATGATAAATTCATAGTGAATTTAGGTGTAAAAATGCATGCTGTACATTAATATACATGAAATCTCAAGGGCTAACATAGTTTTACAAAAAGAAAATAAATTCCAAAGGTTCTTTCAACGGAACTCAAATCTAGGTGGATTTCTTCAGGTATTTTTTTTTCCAAATAGTTTATTGTCAAATTAGTTTCTACATAATACTCAGTGCTCATCCCCAAAGTGCCCTCCTCCATGCCCATCCCCCTCTCCCCCCCTCTTCCATCAGTCCTCAGTTTTTGTCAGCATTCAAGAGTCTCTCATGGTTTGCCTCTCTCCCTTTCCCCCACCATTTCCGCCCTTCTTCTCCCCCTTGTTCCTCCGTCAAGTTCCTCCTAATCCTCCTATACGTGCAAACATATGATATTTGTCCTTCTCTGCCTGACTTATTTCGCTCAGCATAACACCCTCAAGGTCCATCCATGTTGCTACACATGGCCAGATTTCATTGTTTCTCATTGCCATGTAGTATTCCATGGTATAGATAAACCACATCTTCTTGAAACATGGAAAGAGCCTAAGTGTCCATCAACAGATGAGTGGATCTTCAGGTATTTTTTAAATTATCCATCTGCTCCTATAGGTCTTATTAGCCAAGGCTATGCCTGGAAAGGCTCAAGGTAGAGAGCCCTTATGTTAACAAAGTTATCCGGGCATACAGCTAGGAGCCAAGTAGGGAAAGTAATCCTGGCATGCAGCTAGAAATCAAATAACCAGAATGAGGTAGTGAGAGGGGAGTCACAGGAGAATGTCTTTTGGTAAGGAAGAGGTTGAGGCTACTATATAAAGGATATGGCTTTCCGAGTTTACAGGGGACAAATGCTTACCTGAAGAAATTTCCTAACCTAGGCAAACATCCTCTTCAACCCTGTTTGTATAAGCTTAAACAGGGTATACCTTTGTGAAAGTGAAAAAAAAATGTGGCTGGCTGATTTGTACTCTTCAGCCAAGTTTATGGAATATGTGCTTCTACAATTCAACGTGAGCATCTCATTTCTGCTGATTTAATAACCCACAGGGTCTTAGTCTACTGTGACAAGTTATACATTTATGCATGAACAACATTCACCATTCCCTATTCATAAAGATACATTTATAGCCATGGTTGTATCAAAACCATTCCCCTTCCCTTTGTTACTAATATTTTAATGTAACTTCCCCAATGTCCTAAATTGTCAAGGAAATGTTTTTGTTTACATGTCCTAGGAAAGTATTAAAAACCTTTATCTTGGAAGGTTTTTTATCTTCAATAGCTGATGGGAACCATTTTCTCTTTTTTTATCAATTAAAATTATGGTCTGGGGTATTTGTGCTGAGATGAACAGAAGATTAATTTGCCATCAGAGTTGGTTAATCTTATCATTAGATTCATGGGTGCAAATGCCCAATGTTTGGTTTTGGTTTGACTACTGTGGACTTCCTGGTGATGTCTACCACCATCAGAGTAGCTTTAGGCAAAGTCCAGTCACCAGCTAGAGGGGATCAAAACCATGCTGGTTGATTTATGAATTACCACATATCATAGAATCCAAGGTGCTATGAATTATATGATGAAAATTATTTGATGAATGTCCAAGAACAAAAATAAGCAGCAATGAAACTATGACACAATGCTTTCACAATAGTCCTGTTAGACATATTTATCATTCATGTCAGCCTCTTATTGCTCTGAAATTTCTTTTATGTATTCTGAGGAATTTAGCAATTTTTCAGATCTTCAGTTGCTTTGCTCAGTACATAATAATCATTCTATAACTATCTCAATACTGAAGTCAATGAACCCAACTGTTAGTGGTTACCTTTCCTTCTTAAATCCTATAGCTAGTTGCTTCTCAAGAAAATAAGAAATGATGGTCATTACTTCAACATGAGTATTCACATTAAATTTATAACCCTTTCTGCTACTCAATTGAGGTAATAATGATAAAAGTAGCTATCACTAAGTCTGTGCATGTACAGGCAATGAAATGCATCTTTGATACTGTTGGATAGTGATTGTAAGAAGCCACTGACTATAAGACATATTCCAATTCCAAAGATGTTAACATACAAAAGTTGTGCATCTTAGATTCTGTAAAATGCTATTGTTTTCTTGGTACTTATGTATGAAGACACAGGTTGAAATGAGCTCAGAGTATTCCCTTAACTGAAAAAAAATTGCAGATGAAGTATAAGCCCCATGAGTTGAGAAAGACCCTGACTTGTACTTATTTCATGAAGACATAATATGAATTAAGGTCAGGAGAATGTTGGGATATTAATCCAACTCCATGTCTTCCACCTCAGAATCCTACCAATTTATTCAGCCAGTTTAAAAGAAAGATCTAATACTAAGTGAGTCTGGGGAAGTCATTCTGCATTCTTTAGCCTCAATATCTTCGTCTGTAAAATGAGACTACCATATTATTAGTCCTAGGTTAGGCAAACTAGGACCTAGGCAACCAGCTGCCCCTCTTCCCAAATCCAACTCAACTCATCCTTTCTAATTTCTATGTTCTAAACAATTGGAAGCCTTTTTTCATTAAAGAATATAAAATTTTGTCTCCATTCCATATCTCGAGGTCAAGGTCACACATAGGCGAATTTCTAAATGGGATAGAATCATCTTCCTCTTCTATGTCTGCTGGAGTATAACACACATTTGTTGAATAAATCCTCCTGTACGTGTAATTTCTATGTGTTTACCTTTTGGTAATTTGCTGTTTTTTGTAAAAAAAAATTTTTTTTGGAGATGGATTTTTAATCACCTCATTAGGGGGAGTCTTATTTCTTTGTTGGTTAGAGACACATTTAAAGAAAGTGGCTGTCACCAAATAATATACATGTGAAAAGATGATTTATTTCTGAATCACTGCAAAAGATCCTTTGGGATTTATGGTTAATCTCAACGAAGATTAATGGAATCAGAAGCAATATGCTTGTCACCATGGTTACTCTACAAATGGCAATTAAGTCAGCCTTACCAGGATCAGATCACAGTTATTAAAAAAATC